ACAAATTTAAAAAAAAAACTAAAAATCAAGTTAAAAAATCCTACTCAGGGGGCACCTGGGTGGCTCAGTGGGTTAAAGCCTCTGTCTTCGCCTCAGGTCATGATCTCAGGGTCCTGGGATGGAGCCCCGCATCGGGCTCCCTGCTTGGCGGGGAGCCTGCTTCCCCCTCTCTCTCTGCCTGCCTCTCTGCCTACTTGTGATCTCTGTCAAGTAAATAAATAAAATCTTTTAAAAAATAAATAAAAAAATAAAAAATAAATAAAAAGACCAACTTCTTAAAAAAAAAATCCTACTCAGCTCTTACCCCTCCCCTTACACTATTACTTCCTTTGTGCCTCCATTTCATCTTGTACGTATCACATATTTGGTAATGACTTGTTTGACAGGATAAGGATTACTATCCCATTTGCCCCCAGTAAGGGGTGGGAGGAACACTCATCCAATTCTGGAATGTTGACCAGAAGCTAAGAAAATATACTGAAGTCTTTTCTGAAGACCTTAGATGGGAAAAGGGCCAGTAGCCTTGATGGCACAATACGCTACCGGGGACCGTCATTAGACTGTCATTACCAGCAAGAGTATGTCTTCTACATGCAGAGTTTCCACTCTGAGATTGGATCTGGAAGAACCATTTTCCTTCAATCTTCCTTTCGTAGGCAGGATCTGAAAGACCTCAACAGCTCCGCCCCCGACCCACGACACATACCGACACCCCCTCCCTACACCAAGCTCAACCTGCTGACATGACTGGCCCGACCCAGTCGGACTCATTGGAGGGAAGAGAGGACGAGGTTCGTTCAAGACAGATTCAAGACAGAGTGGCTTACCCTATAGATAACGTACCCGGGGTCAAGTAAAGAACTATTTCGGTGCTTCTCCTGGACTCTGGGTATGTATGCTTGATGTCTAACAAATTTTGTTTTTCTTCTGATCATGGACTGGACCTTCCTGCCCTTCCTCAGTCATTGCCAAGAGGTTGCAATTGTTTGATCTGTCCTCCTTCCCAGATGAGAAGCCCCTTCAGGGCAGGGACTGAACCTTATTCATCCTTGTATCCCCAGTGTCCACTGGCCCTGGCACATAGCAGGTGCCCAATACATCCCAAATGACTGAATGGTTAGACTGAGTGTGGGGGGAATCATTACAATAACCCAGGGATTTTCGGCCAAGTCACTAGTCCACCCCTGAAAGGACAGTCTGGATTACAGACCCGCAGGCAGAACTGTTGTGCCCGAGTTTTTGCGTCTGAGAGACCACCAAGGAGCCAAGCACCAATGCAATCACATGAGGGTTTATTTGACAAGCTTAAGCTTGGGCCCAAGTATACCCAACATAGCGGAGTAGGGACTTGGACCCCGAGCCAGATTACAGCCAGAGTTTTTAAAGGCAGAGTAGGGGTGGACTCGGTGGTGGGTGAGGACAAAGGGGGTTATGGATGATGTAAGTCTCTAAGGAATTTTGGAAGTGAGGTCTCCAGGACCTTGAGGGGCTAGCTGTTGTCTGAGGAAAAGGTTATTCATTACCTATAATAAAAATCTTCTTGTGATTCCCTTTAGATGTATATCAGTGGGTCATATACTTGGGAATGATTCTCGACACTATCTTGGAGGTTTAGAGATAAAGTTTCCTAAAGGAATTGTTAGAGTAGACTTACAGGATTCTGGTCGGACCTGTCGGGGTAGGGGTCGGTCAGGCTAGGATTGTCCTTAGCAAAATCTCAAGGTGAGGGCAGTTAAGTCCCCAGGGGAGAACCCCTCTGACTGTTTCAAGGGCTTGTCAATAGGTGAGGAATTTTAATGATTTTCTTCTCCCTCTGTTTCCCACATCAGCTAAACTTGAGGTGGGATGACCTTAATTTTCTCGGCCTCCACAAGAACGTGGGTGGGTGGGCTGGGAAGGAGGGGACTCATGTGGGGGAAAAGTGGTTCATCAGAAAGCCCAGGTTGAGTGGCCAATGACACCGACACCCTCTAGTTTCATGCTCTGTTGGTCACAATGTCATTGTTTGGTGCCAACAGGGCGCGGCTGGTCACCAGGAAATTTCCTTCCGTTCGGGGATTTCAGCTCCATCTGAAGCGCCACCGTGACGGTGCCCCAGTGGCCCCGAGTCCAGGGCAACACCTGCTCCCTTGTAAAGCGGACATCTCCGTGTGTGGCTGATCGGACGGGCTCGGGGTGACTCGGACGCCGGAGTTCCGCTCTTTCGGGCCGTCAGTTCTTTGAATCTGCGGCCCTTTCCCAGACTCTGGGACGGGACTGCTAACAAGGGGTGACCTAAACGTCAGCTTTATACGTGGACACAGCGGTTACATATATGGTTACTCGTGGGCACAACGGTGACGTATGCGCTTATTAGTGGACATAGTGAGGCTCCTTCAAACTCACTTCAAACTCACAAAGTAGCTCCGCTCCCGGGAAAGGAACCTGCGTCCGGAGGGCCCGGCGGGGTCGCCCCGAGGTCCAGTTCTGAGGCCTTTCCCTGCTTCGAGGCTGGAGGCGCGGCCGGTGCCCTTCGCGTTGCCACAGCGGCCACCGCCGGCCCCGGACGCACCCCCGCGCGGACGGCACACGCGGCGGCTCGGCGCGGCCCCCGGAGGCGCAGGAGCCGCGGACGCACCGGGGCGCGGGGTCGGGGCAGCCCCGGGCGGCGGGGGCCGCAGAGCGTCTTCCTCCGGGGCCGCGGGGTGCGGACGGGCCGGAGCGGCGCGGACCCTCCCCCCGCCCCTCCCCGCGCCCCCGCTTCCTCTCCCTCCCGCCCAGCCCGGCCCGCGGCGCTGCGGTGACCCGCCCGCGACAGACGCCGGCGCCGGGACCCGCATCCTGGGTCCGCGCGGGAAGCCCGAGGCTGCGCGGAGGAAGCAGGGAAGGGGGCGGGGCGGGCCGGGGAGGCGGGGCGGGCCGGGGAGGCGGGGCGGGCCGGGGAGGCGGGGCGGGCCGGGGAGGCGGGGCCGGGAGAGCAGAGACCGCCCCCCGCGGCCAACAAAAGGCCGACGTCCCCGGCCCGCCCCGCCCCCGGGAGAGTTGGCGCCCGCGGAGCCCGCCCGCTGTGGCTGTCCCTGTCGCCGTCCCTGTCGCCGTCCCTGTCGCGGTCGCGGTCGCCGTGGCGCTGCGAGCGCCCCGCTGTCCCAGCCTTGCCGGGCCCGGCCGCCGCCGCGGGGCACGTCCCGCACCGCAGCGCCGAGGGCAGGCCCGGCCGGGGGCGGAGGGCGCGGGGCAGGGCGGGCGCGGCGCGTCGTCTGGAGGAACGTGGCGCCGCCGGGCCCGCTGCACGCGGCCGCCCTGTCCTCGCTGGCGCTGGTCCCCGCCGCGCGGCCGCTCACGCTGCTCTGGGGTGAGTCCGCCGGCGCCCCCGACCCCGGCCCCGACCCCGACCCCGCGGCGACCCCGACCCCGGCCCGGCCCGCTGCTAGCGCCGCGCTCGTCGGTCCTCGGGCCGGGCCGGGTCTGCGTCCGGGGGTCGCTGCGGTGCCTCGCCCGGGGCCCGGCGGGGTGGGCGCGTGGCCGGCTCCGCGGAGACAGCGGAAGGGACCGGAGCCCCGCGGCCGCGCTGTGCGCCCCGGAGCGCCGCTGGGCCGGGAGCGGAGGGGAGACGCCGGTGTCGCCCGCGCGCGTCCTCAGGCTCCTCCCGGGCCGCGGACCTGGGGACCGGGTGAAGGAGGTGACAGCGGCGGAGGGTGGACACGCCGGGCGCGGAAACGGCCTTGATTTCCACGCATGACGGGGTGGGAAAACCCGTTCGCCTCCCGCGCCCCACGGGCTCCCGCGCCCCAGTCTGCGGTGTCGGTGCCCCAGAAGTGGCCCCAGAGGTGGCCCCGCGACATTGCTCCGCCCCAGCACAGAGCGGGACCCGGGGCCGCAGAGCCGCCTCCAGGCTCGTCCTTCTCCGGCCCGGGCGGGGCTGTGGCCGCACCTGTGGCTGCTGTCCCACCACCCCCCCCTGCGTCCCACCCCCTGCGTCCCAGCACCCCCGTGCTGGCGGGGCGGGGGAGGGGGAGCTCAGGGCTGGGCCGCCGCGCCGCCGCTCCCCCATTCCGTGCGCTCCAGGGGCGTGGCGCCTGCCCTAAGTCGCTGTCCTCTGAGCCACCTAGCAGGTCCCCCTGGTGCCAGTGACTGGTCTGGGCTTCAGTCACCTGCGGCGGTAGCCGGGGCACAAGCCCGAGCAGCGATACTGGGGCCTGAGAAGGTGATGACGTAATCCAGGAAGCCCTTTCAGATGCCGATTGGGGGATCTCAAGGAAGAGACAGAAACTACTTTTATTTCCAGAGGGAAAAAGGAAGAAAATACGGAGACGACTTTCTGCAAAGCTTATTTGGAATAGTGCCAGCTTCGCGGGTCGGTTGAGAAAGGGCCACTGTGCTCTCAGCCTTCCCTCTTGACCCTGCAGGCCCTGCCCTTGGAGCAAATCCCTCCAGAGCCCCTTAACTCTTAGGGGGTGGGGCTGACAGAGGGACAGTGCACGGAGGGATGGCGAGAGGGTCAGGAGTCTTGGGGAATCCATGGAAATCTTTTTCCCCCTTCATGTGAGCTCCATGTGCTGCCCCGGGGCTGGGGTTCAGAACCCCTTTATCTAGAGCCACTTGCTCATCCCTGGGCCGAGGCAGCCGGGTGCCTGCCCCTGAAGCCTTTTCAAGGCCCCTAAAAGCTCCTGGCGGCCCTCTGCTCGCGCCTCCCCCACGGAGCGCACCTCCTCGGTGCTGTGCCCTCCTCGGTGCTGTGCCCTCCTCGCCAGCGTCTCTGTGATTGTGCCTTGGCTTCGTTCTCTGTCTTCCGCGTCTCTTATCTCCACATGACCAGACTGTAAGATGTTCAGCCACTGCTTCATGGACAGGCCCCCGCAAGGCCGGCTAAAGTCCTCAGCGCTGCCCCCCAGCCTCCAGGGAGCCCCTCCCTCCCTTTCCAGGCCTGGAACGCTGCCGGCCCACCTGGCCCTGCGAACCCCGGCTTGGTCTTCCCGAGGGCAGGGTCAGAGCGAGCACGTGGAGCCGTGAGTGCTCGGAACATGTCTGTGTTTGTCCCCCCAGGACGCCCCACGGGCTCCACTCCGTGCAGCCCCCAGACGCTGCGGACCCTGGCGCCCCACCAGGAGCTGCTCAGACAGGGCCTCCTCTCCAGGTTTGCCAAGTGGCCTCAGTCCTTTCCAGGCTGTTCTCTGGGGTGAAGACAGAATCTTTTTTCTGGAAGGCCGTCGCCAGCGGACACCTCCCTCACCCCGGAGGCCTTCCGCTCTCCTGGAGCAGGACTGCGGCTTCCCACGGCGGCCACGCAGCCAGAGCCCGGTCTCTTCGGGCCTGCGGTCTCCTGCCTGGCTCCTCCATCAGCGCCGCTCTCCGGAGCTCGGCTCTCCCTGTGCTTCCCAGCGTCAGCAGGAGAGGGAGGGAGAAAGGGAGGGAGGAGAAGAAAAGGAAAGAAAAAGAGCAGTGGGGCTGTTTGCTTTCGAAGTCCAAAATGTTGCCTTAGACACGTGTTGGTCAGACAACTGTTCTGTGCCGGCCAGAGGCAGAGACCGGCGGGGGCGGCTGTGCTGAGTCCCGGGCTCTGCAGGGTTATTTTCAGGGGCAGCCCTGGCGCCCTGAGCCGCTCTGTTGCCCCCTGTCACCACCTCCTCCCGGTTCCGTCCAGGGGACCTCGGCCTCGCCTGTCTCCGGGCATTCTGGCTATCGGTTTCCAGAAATGTCAGGGACTTTTCTGGTTTCTCTCTAAGTGTCATCTGAGTCCCCTAAATGTGCCCCGTGGTGACGTCATGGCTTTTTTTTTCCTCTTTGGACTGTCTAAGGCGTGAAGGTCTAAGGCGTGAAGAGCCGGGATTGGCCCGGCTCCCTTCTTCCATCCTGCCTGGGGGCAGACATGGCCATCAATGAGACCTTACAGGAATTCCCCGGTGCCGGCTGGACTCTCCAGTGGGGTTTAGGCTCTGGGGAGGAAGCAGTCTGGGGGCTGGGGGCCTCCAGAGAGGCTGGTCCGCCGAAGCCTGTGCCGTTCTGAGAGGTGCCTGAGGAGGACCTGTCTTCTGTCAGGGGTTCCCTTCTGTCTTGGAGTTGACGTGCCTCCATGACTTGGGGTGGTCTGGATGTCTTTGTGGGTTGTGCTGCTTTTTCTGTCGAGTCTCTGAAGTTGTTGGGGAGCTCAAGAAAGTATTGGCCTCAGACTTCTGCCTTGCCTCCCCGTTTTCTAGGGTGATGGCTCAGGAGAAAGACCTGTCTGCACATGAACCCCTGCTCTCCCACTCACCTTCTACATGACCTGGGACAAATGAACATCTCTAAACTTCAGCTTTCTTGCCTGTAAAATGGGTGTGTCCGTACCTGTTGCTTACCGGTTTGTGAGAGTTAAATTTGAGATTTCGTGTAAATCACAGCACAGTACTTGGCCCTTGGTTGGTGCTCCCTGATTATTAGCTGCCGTCGTTATTGGTCCTGATGTTGGCTCGTTTTCTTCAGTAGAAGGGGAAAATACCCTCTCGCAGCACAATGAACTCTGCATTGGCACAGAACTTGGCTTTGTTGCCTCTCTTGCCTGGAAAAGATTGCTTTGGCTTTGGAAACAAAGTTTCTTTCTCAAAGTTTCCAAAGAGAAATGAACACAAGTCTCTCCTAGTCCTTCCTCCCCCTGCCTCTCCCCATCCTCCATCCCTGCCCTTTCCTTCCCTTAGATTTTCTATCTTCCCTCTTTTTCCTCTAAAAGGTCACTATTTCATAGATAAGCATCTTTTGTCTAGCTGACAACTTGCCTGGTCCTTAATGTTTTCTTGAGCACAACCAGTTACAATGGCTGTAGAAACAGGGCCCACGTATTTCTCGAAATCTCTTAGGGTCTTAGTTTTTACTTGGTTTTTCCTTCCATCCGTATCTTGAGTCATGTTTAAACAAACAAACAAACAAACCAACCATCTTAATACCCAGTTAAACTACTAAAAAACCAAAAAACAAAAATTAAACCCTGTAATTCCCAGTCCATTGTTGCAACTCCTGCATTTTTAATAAATGGGCAGACGCTAAGCGCTTCCTCACTCAGGGCTGGCATCCGGCAAAACTGGAGAATAGAGTACGCTTTGGCTGACGTCACAGTCCTACAAGAATAAGTATAGGTTTGAGGTTAACATTATTAACTCAGTTTTTTTCTAAGACTGGTCAAGGTCACTGCAGACTGTACTGTGACCTTATGCTGCGGAGTAGAAACCTGGGCCCGAAGCCCGGCACCGCCCACTGGTTCAACTTCATACATGTCCCCTTCCAGCTTGGGAGCCCTGTCCCCATCTGTCCGTGGAAGGGGGACAGGAACACTGCGCTGAAAGTTGTTTGAAGGGGCGCCTGGGTGGCTCAGTGGGTTAAAGCCTCTGCCTTCGGCTCAGGTCATGGTCCTAGGGTCCTGGGATCGAGCCCCGCATCGGGCTCGCTGCTCAGCGGGGAGCCTGCTTCCTCCTCTCTCTCTCTCTCTGCCTGCCTCTCTGCCTACTTGTGATCTCTGTCTGTCAAATAAATAAATAAAGGCGGGGCGGGCCGGGGAGGCGGGGCGGGCCGGGGAGGCGGGGCGGGCCGGGGAGGCGGGGCGGGCCGGGGAGGCGGGGCCGGGAGAGCAGAGACCGCCCCCCGCGGCCAACAAAAGGCCGACGTCCCCGGCCCGCCCCGCCCCCGGGAGAGTTGGCGCCCGCGGAGCCCGCCCGCTGTGGCTGTCCCTGTCGCCGTCCCTGTCGCCGTCCCTGTCGCGGTCGCGGTCGCCGTGGCGCTGCGAGCGCCCCGCTGTCCCAGCCTTGCCGGGCCCGGCCGCCGCCGCGGGGCACGTCCCGCACCGCAGCGCCGAGGGCAGGCCCGGCCGGGGGCGGAGGGCGCGGGGCAGGGCGGGCGCGGCGCGTCGTCTGGAGGAACGTGGCGCCGCCGGGCCCGCTGCACGCGGCCGCCCTGTCCTCGCTGGCGCTGGTCCCCGCCGCGCGGCCGCTCACGCTGCTCTGGGGTGAGTCCGCCGGCGCCCCCGACCCCGGCCCCGACCCCGACCCCGCGGCGACCCCGACCCCGGCCCGGCCCGCTGCTAGCGCCGCGCTCGTCGGTCCTCGGGCCGGGCCGGGTCTGCGTCCGGGGGTCGCTGCGGTGCCTCGCCCGGGGCCCGGCGGGGTGGGCGCGTGGCCGGCTCCGCGGAGACAGCGGAAGGGACCGGAGCCCCGCGGCCGCGCTGTGCGCCCCGGAGCGCCGCTGGGCCGGGAGCGGAGGGGAGACGCCGGTGTCGCCCGCGCGCGTCCTCAGGCTCCTCCCGGGCCGCGGACCTGGGGACCGGGTGAAGGAGGTGACAGCGGCGGAGGGTGGACACGCCGGGCGCGGAAACGGCCTTGATTTCCACGCATGACGGGGTGGGAAAACCCGTTCGCCTCCCGCGCCCCACGGGCTCCCGCGCCCCAGTCTGCGGTGTCGGTGCCCCAGAAGTGGCCCCAGAGGTGGCCCCGCGACATTGCTCCGCCCCAGCACAGAGCGGGACCCGGGGCCGCAGAGCCGCCTCCAGGCTCGTCCTTCTCCGGCCCGGGCGGGGCTGTGGCCGCACCTGTGGCTGCTGTCCCACCACCCCCCCCTGCGTCCCACCCCCTGCGTCCCAGCACCCCCGTGCTGGCGGGGCGGGGGAGGGGGAGCTCAGGGCTGGGCCGCCGCGCCGCCGCTCCCCCATTCCGTGCGCTCCAGGGGCGTGGCGCCTGCCCTAAGTCGCTGTCCTCTGAGCCACCTAGCAGGTCCCCCTGGTGCCAGTGACTGGTCTGGGCTTCAGTCACCTGCGGCGGTAGCCGGGGCACAAGCCCGAGCAGCGATACTGGGGCCTGAGAAGGTGATGACGTAATCCAGGAAGCCCTTTCAGATGCCGATTGGGGGATCTCAAGGAAGAGACAGAAACTACTTTTATTTCCAGAGGGAAAAAGGAAGAAAATACGGAGACGACTTTCTGCAAAGCTTATTTGGAATAGTGCCAGCTTCGCGGGTCGGTTGAGAAAGGGCCACTGTGCTCTCAGCCTTCCCTCTTGACCCTGCAGGCCCTGCCCTTGGAGCAAATCCCTCCAGAGCCCCTTAACTCTTAGGGGGTGGGGCTGACAGAGGGACAGTGCACGGAGGGATGGCGAGAGGGTCAGGAGTCTTGGGGAATCCATGGAAATCTTTTTCCCCCTTCATGTGAGCTCCATGTGCTGCCCCGGGGCTGGGGTTCAGAACCCCTTTATCTAGAGCCACTTGCTCATCCCTGGGCCGAGGCAGCCGGGTGCCTGCCCCTGAAGCCTTTTCAAGGCCCCTAAAAGCTCCTGGCGGCCCTCTGCTCGCGCCTCCCCCACGGAGCGCACCTCCTCGGTGCTGTGCCCTCCTCGGTGCTGTGCCCTCCTCGCCAGCGTCTCTGTGATTGTGCCTTGGCTTCGTTCTCTGTCTTCCGCGTCTCTTATCTCCACATGACCAGACTGTAAGATGTTCAGCCACTGCTTCATGGACAGGCCCCCGCAAGGCCGGCTAAAGTCCTCAGCGCTGCCCCCCAGCCTCCAGGGAGCCCCTCCCTCCCTTTCCAGGCCTGGAACGCTGCCGGCCCACCTGGCCCTGCGAACCCCGGCTTGGTCTTCCCGAGGGCAGGGTCAGAGCGAGCACGTGGAGCCGTGAGTGCTCGGAACATGTCTGTGTTTGTCCCCCCAGGACGCCCCACGGGCTCCACTCCGTGCAGCCCCCAGACGCTGCGGACCCTGGCGCCCCACCAGGAGCTGCTCAGACAGGGCCTCCTCTCCAGGTTTGCCAAGTGGCCTCAGTCCTTTCCAGGCTGTTCTCTGGGGTGAAGACAGAATCTTTTTTCTGGAAGGCCGTCGCCAGCGGACACCTCCCTCACCCCGGAGGCCTTCCGCTCTCCTGGAGCAGGACTGCGGCTTCCCACGGCGGCCACGCAGCCAGAGCCCGGTCTCTTCGGGCCTGCGGTCTCCTGCCTGGCTCCTCCATCAGCGCCGCTCTCCGGAGCTCGGCTCTCCCTGTGCTTCCCAGCGTCAGCAGGAGAGGGAGGGAGAAAGGGAGGGAGGAGAAGAAAAGGAAAGAAAAAGAGCAGTGGGGCTGTTTGCTTTCGAAGTCCAAAATGTTGCCTTAGACACGTGTTGGTCAGACAACTGTTCTGTGCCGGCCAGAGGCAGAGACCGGCGGGGGCGGCTGTGCTGAGTCCCGGGCTCTGCAGGGTTATTTTCAGGGGCAGCCCTGGCGCCCTGAGCCGCTCTGTTGCCCCCTGTCACCACCTCCTCCCGGTTCCGTCCAGGGGACCTCGGCCTCGCCTGTCTCCGGGCATTCTGGCTATCGGTTTCCAGAAATGTCAGGGACTTTTCTGGTTTCTCTCTAAGTGTCATCTGAGTCCCCTAAATGTGCCCCGTGGTGACGTCATGGCTTTTTTTTTCCTCTTTGGACTGTCTAAGGCGTGAAGGTCTAAGGCGTGAAGAGCCGGGATTGGCCCGGCTCCCTTCTTCCATCCTGCCTGGGGGCAGACATGGCCATCAATGAGACCTTACAGGAATTCCCCGGTGCCGGCTGGACTCTCCAGTGGGGTTTAGGCTCTGGGGAGGAAGCAGTCTGGGGGCTGGGGGCCTCCAGAGAGGCTGGTCCGCCGAAGCCTGTGCCGTTCTGAGAGGTGCCTGAGGAGGACCTGTCTTCTGTCAGGGGTTCCCTTCTGTCTTGGAGTTGACGTGCCTCCATGACTTGGGGTGGTCTGGATGTCTTTGTGGGTTGTGCTGCTTTTTCTGTCGAGTCTCTGAAGTTGTTGGGGAGCTCAAGAAAGTATTGGCCTCAGACTTCTGCCTTGCCTCCCCGTTTTCTAGGGTGATGGCTCAGGAGAAAGACCTGTCTGCACATGAACCCCTGCTCTCCCACTCACCTTCTACATGACCTGGGACAAATGAACATCTCTAAACTTCAGCTTTCTTGCCTGTAAAATGGGTGTGTCCGTACCTGTTGCTTACCGGTTTGTGAGAGTTAAATTTGAGATTTCGTGTAAATCACAGCACAGTACTTGGCCCTTGGTTGGTGCTCCCTGATTATTAGCTGCCGTCGTTATTGGTCCTGATGTTGGCTCGTTTTCTTCAGTAGAAGGGGAAAATACCCTCTCGCAGCACAATGAACTCTGCATTGGCACAGAACTTGGCTTTGTTGCCTCTCTTGCCTGGAAAAGATTGCTTTGGCTTTGGAAACAAAGTTTCTTTCTCAAAGTTTCCAAAGAGAAATGAACACAAGTCTCTCCTAGTCCTTCCTCCCCCTGCCTCTCCCCATCCTCCATCCCTGCCCTTTCCTTCCCTTAGATTTTCTATCTTCCCTCTTTTTCCTCTAAAAGGTCACTATTTCATAGATAAGCATCTTTTGTCTAGCTGACAACTTGCCTGGTCCTTAATGTTTTCTTGAGCACAACCAGTTACAATGGCTGTAGAAACAGGGCCCACGTATTTCTCGAAATCTCTTAGGGTCTTAGTTTTTACTTGGTTTTTCCTTCCATCCGTATCTTGAGTCATGTTTAAACAAACAAACAAACAAACCAACCATCTTAATACCCAGTTAAACTACTAAAAAACCAAAAAACAAAAATTAAACCCTGTAATTCCCAGTCCATTGTTGCAACTCCTGCATTTTTAATAAATGGGCAGACGCTAAGCGCTTCCTCACTCAGGGCTGGCATCCGGCAAAACTGGAGAATAGAGTACGCTTTGGCTGACGTCACAGTCCTACAAGAATAAGTATAGGTTTGAGGTTAACATTATTAACTCAGTTTTTTTCTAAGACTGGTCAAGGTCACTGCAGACTGTACTGTGACCTTATGCTGCGGAGTAGAAACCTGGGCCCGAAGCCCGGCACCGCCCACTGGTTCAACTTCATACATGTCCCCTTCCAGCTTGGGAGCCCTGTCCCCATCTGTCCGTGGAAGGGGGACAGGAACACTGCGCTGAAAGTTGTTTGAAGGGGCGCCTGGGTGGCTCAGTGGGTTAAAGCCTCTGCCTTCGGCTCAGGTCATGGTCCTAGGGTCCTGGGATCGAGCCCCGCATCGGGCTCGCTGCTCAGCGGGGAGCCTGCTTCCTCCTCTCTCTCTCTCTCTGCCTGCCTCTCTGCCTACTTGTGATCTCTGTCTGTCAAATAAATAAATAAAATCTTTAAAAAAAAAAAAAGAAAGTTGTTTGAAGACCTGGAGGGCCTATGAAAGTGCCTGCCAGAGAGTAGACACTCAGTGCTATTGACTGGCATCGCCCCCCAGGATGGGGGGCCGGCCCTGGCATCGTCCTCTGTCTGGAGCTTGGAGCACTTGTGGCTCGCACAAAAGACGCAGCCTTTAAATCCAGACGTCCAACCATGACCTCGCTGTAGCATTTTTGTTCTTGCCTTGCCCCGTTTTGCGGACGGTACACAATTAAAACAATTGCCTGGAAGAGCCGCTGATCCATTTACAAAAGGTGAACAGCCGTGGTGGCTCCTTAGGGTTCTGTAAAACACAGCACCGTCTTTGGGTGATGTTATTCTCGCCGAGTGTTTGTTTTGACGTGGGGCAGTTTCTGGCATGCAGCCTGCCTGTGGCCGCGGGGATGCATAGTTTTGCTAGCCCCGAGGTTAAGCGGGTGGGCTTTGGAGTGAGGGTCTGGGATCAGCACCCAGTTCCACCCCCAGCAAGTTCAGCCTTGGGCTGATCACTCACCCTGCTGACCTTAGTGTCCCCAAGTGCACAGTGAGGTTAAGTGAGAGCCCCGCAGTAGGCCATCAGGTTGTGGCGGGAGTGAAATGAAAAGGTAAAGAACTTGGCCTGACTGTGATGAGCGCGGGGTGACGTGTGGACGTGGTGAATCACTGTATTGTACACCTGAGACCAATACGACACGGTATGTCCGCTTTACTGGAATTAAAAAAAAAGAAGAAAAGAAAAGGAACTTGGCCTGGAAGTCGGCACAGAGGAAATGTGAGCTCTGGGCCCTGCACACTTTCCCGGAACACTTCCTTCTCTCT